AAATGATGCCGGATGCGAGATATTTTGATAGGAAAAATACGGAAAAATTATGCTCAACCATATATTAAACCATGAAAATGTGGAGTATTCTTCTGGGTGCTCTATTTTGAGAGACCCAGATTTTCATGTTTTCTGACAGGGATTCCCCGGTTAGATTCTCAGAGGGTATCGTGACTCACTCGGCTATAGGCCTATCCTGCTATCCCAAGATATCCCAAGTAATGCAGGAAGCCATGGCTACCCTTGGGTAATTTCACATTGCGGAAAATCATCATGTTAAATACAGCTAAATCATCTATAACCCGCCCATAGCTATGTTCAATTACTGGAGGGTGGGGGGGTCCGAGAATTGAGCAGACTGTTTTTCTCGTTGCTTTGTTGATCCAAGACAAAATTGACCTTCAGAAACCCACATCCGACTTGTTCGGAGTAGATGACCACCTCAAGTTCAGAGTTGGGCACGAACTTTGTGATGCTGGTATACAAGCAGCTGGTTCTTTGCAGTTCTCCGTCCATCCCCAATTGTTCTAAATTTTGGTGGGTTAAACATGGTAAAACCATGGTAAAACCCTCATGGTTTTTGTCATGTCACTCGGTGTTTCACGGGATTTCCCAAGGACTTCATGGACTTTGCTTCCTTCAAGAAGATCTTCGCGGCCGGTTCCGTGGAGATGTCTCCCACCGCAGGCGGTTTTTTGTTTGTGCCATGCTTTTTCAGGTTGCCGGAGACGGTGCTTTAAGCATCAAAAATTGGAAGTTATAATTTAACCATTTAAAACTGGAATTTAACCACCAAAATTGGGAGTGAACTATCAAAAAGGAGGATTTAACCAGCAAAATTGGTGGTATGATGGGTTTAGCACCATAAAATGACCAAACAATAGGGGTTTAAGCAACTATGATGGGGATTATACACTTTCAAACGAGCAAGCAAAAATGGGTTTAACCATCAACCATCTACTATGTGTTTTCTCTTCCGGGCTGACTTTTTTTTTTCAGGAAGTTGTTTTCTATACAAGTTATGATCATTTATGGCCATCCTCAGGGGGGATGCCATATGGTTTTCCCAAGTGCCAGATCAAAAATGCTGGGTTTTACCATCTGAACTTGATGATCTGACCATATTGGGTTTTCTGGCGGATTTCTCACAAAAATGGCTCGCATAATTTTCAGGTTTACATATGGCACTGTAAGTTGTGATTCCTAACATGATTATTTAAAGAAGTTGCTTATAATATAGTTTCAGTGTCGGAATTATCACAAGTATGCCTAGGGCTCTCTGAAGTGATTGTGCACTGCAATCTGGGAGAAATGGTTGTAAGTTCAAAGTGTTCTTGAGATGTGCTACCAGCAGGATATTGCCCATGTTGTGCGGGTGATTTCCCTCAACACTGTCACGGAATGTGTGATTCTTAAGTGGTAAAACCAAATGTTTGGTGTTCAAATCACATCAAATCACCATTGTTGCTGGCAAAATCACAATTGTTGCTTTTAAAATCTTTTAAACTTACCAGTACTTACCATGTTTGTTGGTAAAATATGGTAAAATATCGTCAAATTATGGTAGAATCACCATGTTTGGCGTCCAATGTGCTGTGTCCAGCAGGTGAGAAACGAGACCCGGGCCCCACTTTGGAGGAGTTTCTAGGTGGAGAGAAGGTGGCGCCCCAGGTGGTTAGCTAAGTTGGTTATACGCTCTATGGTGATAAGGGATAAGGGGGGTTCTTAAAATGCGGAATCCCATTTTGACCATAGGTTTCAAACAAAAAACCTATCTAATTTTAGGATGATTTGCGAGTACCCTATTGTAGGACCCCCCCTAATGGTATCTATAGAACCTCAATGGTGATTTAATTGGAATATAACTGATATAACTGATATTACAACCAACTGAATATGGTGATTTAATGGGAATATACTATCACTTATACCCTTTGGTAATTGATCAGTTTGCGATGGAAAATCACCGTATTATTCATGGCATATGCAAATCATCATATACCATCGGACTAAATGGGCAACCTTCCATAGCTATGTTAAATAATCGGAGGATAAGTAGTATAACTAGGGTCTATGTCAATTATAACTATAGTGTTTATGGATGTTTATGGGGTGAAAGTAAAACCAACCGACATAGGTGCGTTCGGGGGACACATTGTAGATATAAGGGGTTGACCATCCAAGCCAGGACATCATAGGGATACGATGATGGCCAAGGAGGCCACAGGTGCTGGAAAGAAAAAAACTGAGAAGGCAGAGAGGGCTGTGAAGCCCGATGCTGGAGATGATGGAGTGGAGAGTCTGTCAATTGAGTCCAGAGGGACTCAATGCCTCAGTCGTTGGTGGAGCAGAGGGCTACTCAATGGCCCATGCGGCGATTCATTCAATGCCCTTGTCCCAATCCTTGCTGGAAGAAATGGATCGATCCTGGTAGGTCATGTCTCCACGGGAAAAATGGACAGCCAAGACAAATTTGTGTCATGCCATTTAGAATCTATTTATGTACCATCCAGTGGCATATTTAGAACTATAGGGCTACAGTAAGTAGGATCCAAAATATTGGCAACCCCCTGACCTGTGACTGGAAATCACCATGTTTGCTCTTCAAATCACCATTTGTGTTTGGTAAGATATGGAGACTTCCTGAAATGGAGGTACCTCCCAAATAATCCAAATTAAACCAGTTTAGTATTGAACCCCCTTTTTTTTGGATCCCTTATTTTAAGACACCACCCATTATATATATATATATACATATATGTATACATACACACACATACAGTGTGTATATAAATATATATATATATATGTGTAATATGTGTATTAAAAACGCCCTTGTCTCCCATATGTACACAATGTTTGGGCTGCCAATCTGAGGTCCTGTACTCACTTGTACCGTCTGCAACGAGCTGATGTGCTGCGTGCTGCCATCTTCAGCCACTTAGCTGAGTTTATGATATGCTCCAACGGAGGGGTGCTCCAAGCAGTTGGTGTCCTATTGTAGATTTGGATTAAGTACGAAAATATGGGATTAGTGATTTTGGGATACCAGCATAACCCATATGATATATTTGGAATTTAGTGGAGTCAGTGGATACCATCAGATGTGTTTTAAATGTCGGAAGCAGTTACATTGAGTCCCCCAAAGATTGTTGTCCAGGATGTGAAAACGATGATGTTTCCCTGATGATTTTGCAGTTTTCTATAAATATCCGATGCTGAAAAGCCATGGTTGTCCCGGTTGTCATTGTCCCAGCTGCCAAGTTGGTATTGAGCCAAGCTCAGGTCATGCTCCAGATGTGTATCTTCCTTTCACTGCCATCGCAGCAGCACTACGGCAGGTAAGGACTTGGGTGTTTGTTTCGTTTGGGTTTGAGGGTGTAGCCTCTGGTAAACTCCCAGTTCGACGTGGAGAACCCACCCGGTAGTCAAGGACTGGCAGTGCCGCTACAATGGTTGGACCGAAGATAGTTTTGGTTTGATGGGTTTGATGTTCTGTTTGCTCCTTGTTCAGATGTTAAAAGAAGAATTGACCAATGAATTCATGTGAATTGTTTGCAGCCATGCAAGAATACTTGGAGGATCATCGCACCTGGTAACCGGTTAGTAATCATAGCTATGACATGCTACAACTATCCATATATATAGGGGATAACCCGGTAGTGGACCTACTTATTAAATTTATTAACCATGGTTATTAGGCAATCCCAAAGACGATAGGGAGAGTCTATGCGTTTCTTTCGAACAAAGCTGTTGGGAGCATCCAATGGACCAGCCTGGTCCAACATGTGGAAATAAGATGAACCATTGAACAAAACGATGAAGAAACCAACCACAGAAAGGTGTCCATAGATTTTCCCATGTTTCCTAAGGTTTTTCCTTCACTTTCCCTGCAATTTGAGGGGGTTCCCATGGGCCAGGCCGCACCAGAGCTGACGGAAGCCGAAGTGGCGCAGATTTGTCGATTGGCGACGGGAGTCTCAGGGATGGTTGGAGAATGGTCCTTGCAGGTTTGTGATGGGTTGATGGATCGAAAATTTACACCACATTGGAAGTTTAATTAATCCACATGTGTATATCTATATATACACCTTTATATATATATACACATGGGTTTAAGATGGTTTAATTTAAGTTTATGAGGAAAGAAGGATAGATATATGTGTAATTATGGAATCTAACCAATCAGTTATCCCGGATAACCAATAAAATAAAGTAGATATTTGATGATATTTGTGATATCAAAGATAGGACCAACAAAAACAGCAATGCTTGACGGGTTACAGTAGTGGTTTGAAATATGCGTTTGAAAATTGGTATAGTATTCCCCCAAGTCTTTGCAAATTGGGAAAATTTACCCTACTTACCATATGTTTGGACGAATCTGTGTGCTGTTTTGCATCCTAGTTGCGATGATGATCATACTTGCCGTTTTTGTTGGGGGGGGATGGGTTGAAACCACCAACCAGGGAGTGGTCTTCGTCCGTCAAGTCGGTCGATTTCCATTCCGCATCCCGAAGTTGTCCAACATGCAACAAGGATCACTAGAAGCGCTACCCAAAGTTCAAAGCCAGATGATGGTGAATAGGGGGATAGTCAAAACATGTCAAAACCAAATTTGGTGACAATGTCCTCACATCTTTGGATGAGATGCACACGATCTTCTAAAGTTGGGAATTGTTGTGGCGAAGCTGAGTCAACCGGGCAGAGCCTGGCTGGAGAAACTAGCTGTGATGCTACCAGCATGGAGAGATGAAAAGCTCTGGATGATGGAGGTCAGTTAGTGATGCAGTACAAAGGAGCCAGTGTATCGACAACTCGTTTGGTTTTAGATTGTTTCCATTTGATTTGCTTTCAAAAGTCGCAAGGTACACAAATATAAGTATAAGTATATATATACTTATACATACACATGTGTGGAGTCAGCCATTTCTTTTACGCCCACCTCGCAATTCTGTCACTGTTCCACCATGCCGTGGCCCTGCGTTTGAGCAGATGCCATGGCCGCTGACATGGATTGGGAACGTGTATGGCAAGGCCCGGTGCGCAACCGGTGGATGTTTGCTTCTTCGATGGAAACAAGTACATATATTACATTACTGGTTGGTGGCTTCAAACATTTGTTATTTTTCCATAATACATGGGATAATCCTTCCCATTGACTAATATTGTTCAAGATGGTTAAAACCACCAACCAGATTACATTGCATTGCATTGCATTATACATTAATTACATTGCGATACATAGCAGGACATACCATTACATTACATCACACAGATCATCACACTACATTACATACAGACATACAGACATGAAGACATACAGTTACAGAGACAGACATGCATTTGATATATTTGAATATGTTTGAACTGGTATGTCTCTATATGTACGCATAGATGGGATGATGGGTATGTTCCAAGATGGTGTTATGTACCCCGCCATGTGGGCACTGTGCCACACTCATTAGTGTCTCAAGAGATGCATGAACGGCAAAGTCGATGATGGTCAATTGTATTTTCATACATAGGCATGTATATAGAAATTACATATACCCTCTGGTTATTCAACATAGCCATGAGAAATGGCCCATAGAAATAGATGGTTTACCTATTAATAGCATGGTGGATCTTTCCATGGCACACTGTTAGTCATAACCACCATCATTAACCATCATTATATAACAATTATTAACCATTCATCATCATCATCATCATCATCATCATCATCAACCATTATTAAGCATTATGAACCATTATTAACCATATGTTCCAATGTGTTCCAATCGGATCCAAGTGGCTCATGGCTTTTTCTCAGGCGACTTTTCGCAGGTGCAGCAGTCCTTCCACGAATCCCTTGAGGCCGTGGCCGTGATGGGGTGGGGGAACCTTTAATCAGATACAGTACGTTCATTTGAAGTTCTCAGAATGGAATTTTACTTGGAATCAGATTGAAGGGAAATGTTGGGACTGAAATATCAATATTTGGGGGTAAGAACTTTATGCTGGTGGCTAAAGCCATGTGTTTCATGGAATTATTTAGTACATCGACACCTGCAAGCTCTTGTGATACCTGATTATACTATCATATACTATCATTAAAAGATCAATACAAATAAATCTGACTCTTCGCAAGCCTGGTTGAGGCATAGATTAGATTTCAGGACACCTCTGGAATATTATATAAGACTATATAAGACTATAGTATATGTAAAAGGATACTTAGATATATCATTCATATGTATTATATGGACAAATGTGAGACATTCTGTAGGTACATAGATACATAGAGATATCATATATCGATTATATACAGGAATACGGATATAGTTGTTTATATGAAACATATCTTGATAAATATCTAGACTGTTCAGACTTTTATCCCATTGAAAAAATATGTCATGTATAAGAATACATGTATACGTATATCTGGGTAAGTTATAACGACCTCACTGCGACATGACTGGAATTATGCTTAGTAGCGGAAACATTAGGGAAATCATCCCCAAATGGCCCAACAATTCAGGCTGGGGGAGGGGCTGAGTGGGGAGACGGGTGGCCGCAAGATTCAGGTTAGTGAAATATTGTAATTTCGCCAGGTATCTATATATATATACTTATTGGTGGTTTCAAACATGTTTTATTTTCCCATCATATTGGGAATAATAACCCCAACTGACGAACTCATATGTTGCAGAGGGGTGGCTCAACCACCAACCAGTATATTATATAATCATCTATGATATTTATCCAGGTATACATATATATATATAATTATATAATTATATGTTAAAACCACCAACCAGATCATAAAAATGGATGATTATTTACCCTCTGGTAAACGTTACTTAAAAAGCGAACTGGAAAGATCCACCCTGCTATTAATAGGTAAATCAACTATTTCTATGGCCCATGTTCAATAGCGAACTGTTAGTCATTACCAGAGGGTATATCCCATTAATCATCATGAATCACCAATAAATCACTTGGTTAACCATCATTAACCACTATTTTTCCAATTCCATTCAATCCCCATTGTTGTTCCCCCTGCGATGGTTTGTTCACCTACATAGGTGCGCTGTATCGCCTCCAGTGGTCGCGGAGTGATCACCCTGGCGCCGCTGCATGCGGGGGAGCTGCTGCTGGCGGAACGAGCCCTGCAGGCGGACCTTGGACTGCGGTGAAGCATGGCTTTGTCGCTAGGAAATCCCAAGGAAAGATGGGAAAAATATGGGAAAATATAGGAAATATGGGGAAAATATCGGAAAAATAGAGGAAAAACGTGAGGAGGTTTTTGGGGAAAATATGAGAAACCTACGGGAAAAATATCGGAAACTATGGGTAAATATGGTAAATTCTTGGGAAAATAGGGGAAATCATATGGGAAAATATCCCAGAAAAATCAATGCAGGTTTATAGCTGGGAAAGTCATTGAACCAGCAAGACATGTTTGAAATTGGTATGAAATAGCTGTGATTCAATCTAGTGTGGGATAAGGATGATTAACAAATGGATTTTGCAGTATCCAATGTTCAAACAAACCCATATGAAACTGGGTGAAAAACTATGTTATACCCTCCAGATCATAACAGAAAACGAAAAAAGGAAATCCATGGGTTTCCAGAGGAAAGTGATTTGCAAATGGTGGTTTTCCACATCATATGTATATATATATATATATGTATATTTATATGTATATATATATGTATGTATATATATATGTATGTATGTATGTATGTATATATATATAGGCTCGTCCCAGGTCTTGGAACCACATACGATGGGGTGGGGGGGGGGGGTGGGATGTTAACGTTCATGTGAACTTAAGTGTGATGGATGGGGTGGATTAACGTTCATGTGAACTTGCAGAAGCAGTTGATGCTACGCACACGCGGGGTGGGGGGGGATGGGGTGGGATGTTAACGTTCATGTGAACTTGCAGAAGCAGTTGATGCTACGCACACGCGGGGTGGGGGGGGATGGGGTGGGATGGGTGTGTGAACTTGCAGGGGGACTTAACGTTCATGTGGAACTTGCAGAAGCAGTTAATACTACGCACACGCGGGCGGGGTGACACGCGGGAAACGTCATGTGGTTGGGGTGGAGGGTTGGATGTTAACGTTCATGTGAACTTGCAGAAGCAGTTGATGCTACGCACACGCGGGGTGGGGGGGGATGGGATGTGGGATGTTAACGTTCATGTGAACTTGCAGAAGCAGTTGATGCTACGCTCACGGGGACTGGGACAATATATATATATATATTTATTTATTTATTTATATTTGAATATATTTACAGAATTCTTAGATATATATATATATATATATTCATCATTTTTCTCTATATATATATATTTGAACTTACATATGTGTATGATGATGATGATGATGATGATGACGACGATGACCGTAATGAAACTTGTCAATTCCGCGACGAAATTTCGTCACGGAATTGACAAGTTTTACCGACCTAATTCAGGTTTGCGCGGTTCCAAGACCTGAGACGAGGCTATATATACATATGTATATATATATATATATATATTTATATGTACATATATACATATATATACGGGTATACATATATATATATATAGGGTGGTATGTTGGGATCTTCATCAGTCCAACTTTGGGGTTGAAATTGCCAAATTATGAAGATCCATCAGCACCCAAACTTGAAAAGACACACAGAGCTGATGCATTCCATGGCCCATTGGGGTCTAGTGGACCAAAGCCCCCGTTGATTGGCAAAACTCCAGGGGGGTCTTAGCTATCGAAAAAATCGTCATTCGAAAAAACGATAACATATCTATAGCCTATAGATATGCCATTTTCAACCATTTCCTATGTTAAATTACCGCAGGGTACATCGCCATAAATCCCGAAGCCAAAGCCAGTCATTCCACAGGTTGCGCCGGAGAAAGACTTAGCGGAGATGCTACAGAAGCAGCAGACGGAGCTGGACACCCGGACGGTGGGGGTATGGCCGCCATGGGGAGCTCCACCACACAAAATATGAAACAAACTCGGAGTTACCCGGCCTGGTAAACATACATATATAGCTATTGCTTAAATGGCCCAGTCGAAATAGTGGATTTACCCATTGATAGCATGGTGATGTTCCATAGTTATGTAAACGTTTACCAGAGGGTATATTCAATGGCCATTCCAGGATCCTAAATTGGAGGTACCTACCATATATACGGCCTATTTTTCAGGCCTATGTAAGAGGATATCTCCAGAAAATATGGCCTTATATGGTACTAACGTGCCTCCATTTTTGGATCCTGAAATTCCCATTGCGGCTGGCGCCTAGATGTGGATCCAAGATGATCCAAGCAACTTGCGGGCGATTCATCATCCCGTATCCTCTATAGTTAACCTACAGAGTTTGCTATAGATGGCCTGTGAAAATGAAGAATAAGTCACATTAGATGTTAAAAAACAATGGTGTTTTCGATAGCTATAATATATATATATATGTGTGTGTGTGAGTTTACCGGTGTCCCAACATTCAATTTTGATTGGATGGGGCGGATTTGGGATTCAGTTTTGTTTGTGCACCTTGGCTGGCAACAAAAGCTGAAACCCAGACCCTCAACACACCTGAGGCAGCACTGGCCGCGAGAAGAACGAACGAGCTGATATGGCTCTGGCTAATTCTCTGGCCATGGATTAAATTGTTTTAGACTTGTGGAAGGATTTCCTGTGAAACCTTGGCCCAAAATCAATGTTTTGCTTCATTTTGCTTCCGTGTGTCTCAATGCCCAAAAAGGAAATATCAGCCCTTTGCAATCCATTTGGCATCCAAATTTTGAGTCAGACCAATCTTTGTGGTCACAAGCAGTTGTCCACACAAATCTGAAGTCAACGAATGCTACCTTCAAGAGTTCACACCCTTGCTGGACCCAGTGCGTCATCTCACGCACAGTTCTCTCACCATGCAAGGTACAACTTTGCGCAAAGGCTAAGGACTGCTGAAAATGGCTCACGCTCCGGCCTGCCTGCAAAGGTTCCATCCGCTTGCCTCCTGAAAATGGCGAAGGGCTCCGGCCTGCAAAGGTTCCCATGCGGGAGATTCAATCTCCTGAAAAAGGTTCCAGCCTCTGGGAAGGCTTGCCTCCCGAAAATGGCGAAGGGCTCCCGCCTGCAAAGGTTCCGATGCGGGAGATTCAATCTCCTGAAAAAGGTTCCAGCCTCTGGGAAGGCTTGCCTCCTGAAAATGGCGAAGGGCTCCGGCCTGCAAAGGTTCCCATGCGGGAGATTCAATCTCCTGAAAAAGGTTCCAGCCTCTGGGAAGGCTTGCCTCCCGAAAATGGCGAAGGGCTCCGGCCTGCAAAGGTTCCGATGCGGGAGATTCAATCTCCTGAAAAAGGTTCCAGCCTCTGGGAAGGCTTGCCTCCCGAAAATGGCGAAGGGCTCCGGCCTGCAAAGGTTCCGATGCGGGAGATTCAATCTCCTGAAAAAGGTTCCAGCCTCTGGGAAGGCTTGCCTCCCGAAAATGGCGAAGGGCTCCGGCCTGCAAAGGTTCCGATGCGGGAGATTCAATCTCCTGAAAAAGGTTCCAGCCTCTGATAGGCTTGCCTCCTGAAAACGGCGAAGGGCTCCGGCCTGCAAAGGTTCCCATGCGGGAGATTCAATCTCCTGAAAAAGGTTCCAGCCTCTGGGAAGGCTTGCCTCCCGAAAATGGCGAAGGGCTCCGGCCTGCAAACGTTCCCATGCGGGAGATTCAATCTCCTGAAAAAGGTTCCAGCCTCTGGGAAGGCTTGCCTCCCGAAAATGGCGAAGGGCTCCGGCCTGCAAAGGTTCCGATGCGGGAGATTCAATCTCCTGAAAAAGGTTCCAGCCTCTGGGAAGACCTGCCTCCCGAAAATGGCCAAGGGCTCCGGCCTGCAAAGGTTCTGATGTGGGAGATTCAATCTCCTGAAAAAGGTTCCAGCCTGTATAGGAAGGCTTGCATCCTTCAGTTTACAAAGGTTCCAGTGCGGGAGGGGTGCATGTCGGACTGCAAGGATGACCTCGCTTGGAAGAGGCTGGACTTGATGCTTGGCGTGGGTAGCCGTCATTCAGGGTTTGGGCAGTAGGGGTTGTGAGAACACTTTAATTACTTGAACTTAGGCGACCAGAGTGAAATTTGCTATATATTTGAAACTTGTCCGACGGACTTTATTAGCATTTACACAATGGTTGTTCATCATCTCAGTAAATGGAGGACCACTACCTGGAGCCAAGGATTTTGGTGGAGTTGGAGGAAATTCAGTAGCAGATACCAAAACTATCCAAAACTCCTGTGTCTCCATTTGTAGATGGGGGGCGTTGGAAAGGATCTCCAAGTGAAGGGACTCGCCATGTGCCAAGTGAGAGTTGCATTTTATATGCGCATGTTTTTTTGCAAACTGTGCCCGCAAATGTCTATACCGCTAGGATGAACATGTGAGCGCTCATGTGATTCATTTCGATTCAGAGAACGACTTGTTGGCTGCTTGCATCAAACAACCCCGCAGTTTTTCCAGACTTTCTGAAGCCAAGAAGTAGCTCAGGATGTGTGATGGAGGTGACTTGGCGGTTTTCTCCAAACCCGTCGCCTTGCGCGCGTGGCCAGGTGCCGGGAAGATTTCGGGGGGATCAAGGGTTCACCATGAAATTGGGAGATATCGTCATTTTTTGTGTATGAAATTGAGGTGGTTTGGTGGTAACCACAACTGGTTGGTCGTTTGGAACATTTGGACTATATGTTCCCTAGTATATTGGGAATGTCATCATCCCAACTGACGAACTCCAACATTTTTCGGAGGGGTGGCTCAACCACCAACCAGTGGATTTCAGGCCACGGGAGGTCACTTCAAGTTCCCTCCGCCGTTTTTTTTTGTGACGGTGTGACTCTCGGAAAATGCGGTTGTTTCACATCGTTTCACTTTAAGCAGTGGCCTTAAAAGCCCTGTAGGTCAGTGATTATGAGGGATTTTGCATGATTTTACCACACTCATACTGTACTTGGCGATTTGTATTGTGGATAATATCGAAGATTTCAACATGACAATATTAATGACAATACTTTGATCACTCATTCTGGGAACCCCTAGTAACCAGCAAGACTTTGGACCACATGGGCGCATTCTCTGCAGGTGAAATGGGACGGGAACGGAGCAGTTCCAGTATCTCTCTGTGCCTTGACCAGAGGGATTGGAGCCCTGGATGGTGTCTGCGGGTTTCTTTCATTAGCCACAAATGAAAGAATATGTCGTGTGGATAATTGTAGATATTTTTCAATGTATACATACATTATGTATATATATATATATTATAATGTGTATGTATATCTATATATACATATATATATATATATTGTACTGCACAGATGTAGTCATGGTAATAGTGCAACATTCCATAATATTCCACTTGTTCCTTTTACGGGTGCCGATTTAGCTTGGCGTAGCTTGGCAACTGGCCGAGAATTATCGACGCAAACACAACAAGGGCCGGCTTGGCAAGGATGTCGAATTCCTAAGCTGCAGGGATCTGTGGCTTCACTTAAACAAGCCGGAGTTGCCCAGGCTTGTTCCTCAAGACTCGGCTGAAGTTGACACGAACAAGACTTTGCCGCAACTTTGAGGCTATCCTCACTTTCCTGGCTCACTTTTCTCGTCACACGAGGAAGTTGGAGCAGATTCCTTCCCAGATTCCATCGATCACAGGTGAAATTGTGCTTTGTTTGAGCTATTGATCCAGGATATTCCCCACATCTCCAGAATATCTAGGGCAGGGTACCCAAGGTTGGCCATGATCACTTGGCAGATACAGCTAGCATTTTAGTATAAGTTGTATAAGACTCCCCTCTCCAGGATGCTGTGTATTTGCAAAGACGAAATCTGAATGAACACTTGCATATAGCTGCATATATCCTATATACATTAACTATCATTGACTTACATGCTCACTGACTTGCAGCATATAATGCACGTATGTTGGCACACTTACAAGCACACATGAATTAAATATAAAGTTATTGTAGCTTCCGTTTTGGTAGACATCGCTCAAACCATGGTGTAGCATTGAATGGGTTTATATATTCAAGGGTGTCTCGCATGACATGCAGGTAGTTGATAGGGGCATGGGATTGCATTTGTATCATATCCAAACAATCCGCAGTATGAGAATACCGTGAATACCAGTGTTTTATCATTCACCCACGTCCGTTATTATGGTTCATTGTATCATCATCCTGCAACTTTAGGTTATATCCGCATGTTCGTTGCTAAAACTCCGCATTCTTGTATACATATGGTTTTAAGGACATATCCGAAAAATCCTCATTAATCCCCCTTTAAGCTACATGACCCCCCATCCCCACTACACCACCATAAATCTTCACATTTGTATCACATCCCCCAAGGTGGTGCCCTCTAAGTTATCACTAACTGTTTATTGCCCATCTAACTGCAGTCATGCGCACCGCAAACCCTGCTTAGCATTTTAACATGTTGTAAAATCAACTTAGCCAACGACCTGGGACACCATCATTATATCCCCTGACATTCCCATTAAATCCCCAAATATCCCCCCCATTAGATCTATTACGAATCGCCATTAATTCACCTTCTCTATACATATACATTATATCCATGATATCCCCATGAATACTCCTCAAAACGATCCATCATGAAGACCTTCCTATTAATTTCATTATTTATTGGTTAAATCCTATTTTTTGATGGTGATTCACTACGTTCTTTTACCATTCTTGAGGTTTAGACCTATAGATGGCATGGATGACATCTCCAAGATCCATTGCCATAATCCATATTATTAAGTAGCGTTCCATTATAGCAATGGTATCCCGTTGTATTCCCTATATTCCCAAATTACTTCCAGTATCTCCCAGTAATGATGATACTAATTCCATGATTTTGTTGGTTCAATCCCTATATTTGATGGTGAAAAAAAACACCGTTTTTCACCATGTTGGATGCTTCAAATCCACATGTTTCATGGTTTAACCATCATGTTTCATGCTTTTCATGGTGATTTACCACGAATCTCCAAGATCCCATCGCATTCACATTTAGATTGGCTCCCATACGTTTGAAATCCCTATGTTTCATGTTAATTTCCCACCATTTTTCACCATTTTTCATGGTTTCAACCGCCCGTAGGTGCCCCATCCCTTGACCGACGCCAGGCCTTCCATGCGCCGCAAGGTGGACCTCAACGCCTACCGCTGCGCGCCACCGGTCAGCGACTACGCCTTCAGCGAGGGCGGAACCGGAAGCGGAACGGGCGAGGACGGAGGGCCGCTGGTGATTTTGGATGAAAAGAAACGGCATTGCCACGCAGTGTGATTTTTTGAATGGAGTGTGTAGAAATTGAACATGTGTCTTAAAACTTTGGTTTTTTGGGAGTTTCCATTGCTGTGCTGGATTGTCGGATGGTTTTGCGTTCGTTGATTGGGCCAAGAGGGTTTGGCGCTGAAAATTGCGATTGAACCATAAAGATTGGCTCAGGCTGATATGTTCAAACTGCAGTTCGTTGGTGGTTTGTTGGGGTAGTTGGCTACATTCTCAATAAAGAGCTAGACGCCTCAGTAAACATCACAGCAATTTACCCAACGGCTCTCAGTGACCCCGTGGGCCTGTCTGCAGGAAGAACGGCACTCAAGCTACGGGGTGTTTCCATTGGCGTCGCTCTTCAATCACTCCTGTGCGCCCAACATGTGCAAGGTCCTACTGGCTGACTGGGTGCCTAGGCAAGTCTAGACGAATGCTGGTGCAGCCGGACTGGCATTCAAAAAACAATGTTTCCTGGACATTCCAATGGTTTGCTCCTACTCTAGCACCACCCATGGTTATGGATCATGTTCTCATGTTGTTATCATGATCCCCATCTTTGGGCCCGAGTCCTACAGTTGTTTTTGCGTCAGCGAACTGTTGGCAGAGGGTACCCAGAGACCACCCGCCAAGGTGTTCCTGAGGGCCGCCCGGGACATTGAGCCATTGGAGGAACTCACACAGTTCTACTGTGACTCAGCGATGGATTGAGCATCTCCGGTGAGGCCGGATGTTGTTAGGGTTATATGATGGTATATGGAGGTGTCCTAAATGGGCATACCCCCAAATCATCCAAAATTTGAAGATTTTACTGCAGTATTTTTGAGGTACCTCATTTTTTCAAGAAACCTCCATATGGGTGTGTCTGAAAATAGGGAACCCAAAAATCCACCTGATCATTTGTTTATTTTCCTTATACCAAGTACCAAATGACATGCTGGAAAGGCATACCCCATTTTCAGCCTCATTTATGTGGCAGTACCAAGGCTGTGTACTTGGCATGGTACTCCACAGCCACAGTCCCAAGGTGATATCCGAATGCCCGTGGAAATGCGACAGAAGGAGCTTTCAGAGCTGTGCCATGGCTGCCACTGCTTTGGGGGGGTGGTACATCTGTTGCTAGGTAGACCTGTGTGAATTGATGGTTTCTATTTGGTGGTATCCGATGGGAGCTATCCACTGTCTTTGTGTTCATGCATAGATTGTTTTCCCATGAGCCATGGGGACTTCTCGATGTGAATTGTGGGTTAATTAATGGTTTGTTGGCTTGCTGAATCTGGTTCGCATCAAGAGATCTCTGGAATTCCCAAGCAAGAAGCGCGGCTGACCACCGCAGTGTGTCCACTCAATAGCAGACGATCCAAAGTAAATTCAGCTCCTCCACTAGTGGCTATGCAAGCGCCAAGAAAGAAGACTTAGATATGGGTCAAAATTGCGTACCAAAAAAAAAGGGACCAACCTGACCACTTCAAAAATTGACATATCTGTGATTTTGCTGGCTTTGACATAAATCATGGACCAACATAGTCAGACAAGATAGTTAGTTAGTAATCCATGTTTGGTCCATGATGATGATGGACTGCACAAGATTCCGCTGGGCAAAGGAAGAGCTATAGATGTGCGTATCTTTGATATGTAGATTATATTATATTCCATATTGTTATATATTTGTTGGTTCTGTATCTCCATTATATTTCCATCAATATCAATATTTCCATCAATATCAATATCGACTACGATATAATGTTTGGGATAATTCTGGGATTGTTGGTTTTATATCATTTTACATCATTTTATATCATGTTATATCATGTTATATCATTTTATATCAGTTTATATCTATATCTCCATGGTGTTTTCATCAATAAGCCACATCCCATTTCTTTAGGTTTGGCTTCTCCTGCGCTTGCCCTCGTTGCCGCTTCGAACTTCAGCTGGAGAGTTGCCCGCTTGGAAGGTGATCTTCAGCCGTGTAAACGTTTACAGGGTAGCCCCAAAAAAAGAACTGGTTAGTGGTTTGGAACATGATTTTTATTGTTCCATATATTGGGAATAATCATCCCAAGTGACGAACTCATATTTTTCAGAGGGGTGGCTCAACCACCAACCAAAAAAAGAATATGGGCCACTTGCCAAGTTTAGGTCAAAGTTCTCATGTGCCTCCTGTGGTTTTGCCAGAGTACATAGTATATTTATGGCAAGTTGAATGGGGAAATTGGGGGAAATTTGGTGACAATGTATATGGTACTAAAATCATTGCCCAACCATTTGTTACCAAACTACTTGAAGTTTTCCTTGATGTCCATCAGCCAGAAGCAATTGATCAGCAAGAAATTTTATATAATGGATGATCCCCCAATGAGCAACATCATTGGAATTCCCAGAAACGGATGATGAAAAAATATACAGGAAACCCCACATGATGTGAAAAGGAGTGGCTTTCCTGTAAATGTCCCACCAAAAGCCATTGGGAGGTTTCTTAAGTCATGGTGGATCCCCAAGTCACCATGGGTTTCCATACGAACGTCATGGTCTAATTTTGGCTGATTTGGGGGTACCCCATTTTGGGAAACCTCCATGGGGATTTCTTGGCAAAACGCTATCAGGTAACGATGGTGACGGGTCACTCGAACTGTGGCGGCGCTTCTACAGTTGCGAGGCGCCAGGTCCAGATGAATCAAGCCAAAAAAACAAAGGGTTGCAAACTTCAAAGATCATGTTCTCCCCTTCAATACATTATATATATATATATATATCAACAATTATGATAGTAGTAACAAAGATCATCAGAAACGATACTGATAATAGATGTATATTGTTTAAGCATCACCTTTAAATGTGGCATAGCTCCAATAGCCTCAAATGAACAATCAATGTGGCAGTACCAAAAATTCATATCATACCTGCCGAAAAAAAGAAAAAACGAAAAAGGCAAGCCAACCAAATGATACCAAATGTATTTCCACGATAGTATAGATGATGTTTTCCCCCCTCATTTTCAGGTGTCTAAATGTTGTACAGTATCTTTTCTGGATCGTTGGGGTATCATATAATATATATATACATATCAAAATTATATAGCCCCATTACCCTATGGTAATCTAACATAGCTTTGGAAAATCACGATATTTTTTGTTGCGGCAAATCATCGAACTAAATGCGAAGCATGTTCCACAATATCCTATCAATCTCCCATCTATTTTCCATTAATATTTATATATATATATTAATATGTCATAATAGCCATGTACTATATTAATGTCATGTGAGAGTCATTGAAAAAAAGTATTGTATTTTCCATATATATATATATTAATATGTCATAATACCCCAATTATATCCCCATTATACCACCATGATATAAAAAATCGAATATTTCATATTAATCCCACCAGATCTCCTGGCAGGTGCCCCTGGTGCATCAGCGCTTCGCCTCGGAGCTGCAGGGCTTGGTGGAAGCGGCTGAAGCGGCGGTCAAGGCGAAGCTGGAGACGATGGATGGTCGTGCGTGTCTTGGTGGATGTTTACCATCTGGTTTTTTAACATAGCCATGGAAAGATCCACCATTTTTAATAGGTAAACCATCTATTTCTATGGGCCATCTATACCATGGCTATGTTAAATAACCAGAGGGTAGATGTTTAGTGGGTATACCATGGTACTGTACACGTAGTGGATCATCCCACTTAAGTAGGTTAATTCATGTTAACTCACCCGAATTACAAGTGGATTAACCCTACTTATCCATACTTACCCCACTTATAACTTGGAATATAGCATAATATAAGCTACTTACTAAGTGGGATGATGGCAATATAGTGGGAGATACCCAATCATTGTAATAGATTCATGCAAAAATAGAGGTACAATGGGAATAATACAATCTGAGAATCCGTATGAATTATACTCATTTTCATTGGGAGTTTATCATTTATAAATGGTAATATAATGGAGATAGTTGATGGATTATACTGGATGCTAATTTATATATATACATATACATATATATATATATATATACATATCTTAATTCAGCTGTCACATGAGCACTGTCCATCATTTACATGTCAGGAAGACATGTGCGTTTCCGCAGGGATCCTTTGCTTCTCAGGCGAGGCGAGAAAAGGCGCCCAACTGGTTGAACTAGGAAGTTCATGCGGTTAGGATACCGCTTCCAGTTTTAATACTGGTAGCGGAGCCTCTCCGGAGGCTCCGCAGGCCAGGAGGCTTGCGTGTGTCACATGAGCACAATGGCCGGTGCCATAGGTTCAGCCGATGGATCGTCGCGAGTGTTTTCTGGAGATAACGAGGATGGCAAAGAGTACAAGAGATGGAAGGTCTGGGTAACGAACAAACTTCTTACCTTAGATAGCAAGGTGTCAACCAAAGCTCGTGGAGCGTATGTGTACACTTTGCTTTCTGGAAAAGCTTTAGAGTGTTTTGAACATCTAGAGCCAAGTGAGTACCAAGTTGAAAATGGTGAGCAAAAGCTGTTTTCCTTGCTGGATGAACGTTTTCCGCAGAAGGATGCCAGTGACGAGATGAGTGAGACGCTCACCCAGGTTTTCAATTTGAAAGCTGCCGAAGGCGAATCTCTGAAGGTGTGGATTTCCCGCGCCACTGAGCTGTTTGACCGTTGCAGTAGAAAATGCCAAGTCACCTTTCCGGAAGAGGCAAAAGGATGGATTTTGCTTCATCGTTCAGGCCTGAATGATGAGCAGAAGGCTGTTATTTTGGCCCGTAGCGGTGGGGTCATGAAGCGTGAGACTGTTGGAAAAGCAATGAGGTCGTGTTATCCCGAGTTTACAGCACCAAAGAGAAAGATGTTTGGAGCTGGATTGATAGAACATGATCCACCTATGTCTGAAGAACACGAGGATGATCCTCTTTTTCAGGAGGTAGAATCTTTTCTGGCAGAACATGAAACTCTCTTGCCTGGAGAAGGTGATGACGAAGATGTCTATGAGGAGGCAGAGGTAGCTGAAGCCCTTGCCGTTTCCTGGAAAGACAAACGCAAAGAGTTGTCAAAGATGCAGAGATCGAGGCGTTTTGGAGCTGCTCAAGACCTGAAAAGGTCTTATCGCGTAGAAATTGAAGAACTCAAGCGCAATGCCATCCCTGCAATCAAATTGGACACTGGTCCAGAGACTGCAAAAACAATCTCAGAAGGGAAAGGGTCGAGGATCAGCACAAAATAGCTCAGCCAAGGGTTCCGACTCAGGTGCTGCTTTGGTGCAAACTGTCGAAGAACATTTTGTAGCTGCAGTTCAATGTGAGGATGATTCACATAGCATTTTGAGGCTTCTCAAGTCTCGCCGTGCCGCTCGTGAAGTGCAGTTTGCTGAATCATGTGTGTCAAAAGACATTCAGCCTGAATTTTTTCTGGTGAGCTCTCCTGGTTTCGGTGTCATCGATAGTGGTTGCGGAAGAACAATCATCGGAGAATCGACGTTGGAAGAGTTCAAACACATGTGGACTGCTCGTGGCATCGAAGTGCCACCACCTGCACGTGAGATCAACCACTTCAAGTATGGCAATGGAGAAAGAGAAACATCTGAAACTGTCATGAAACTTCCAGTGGTCATCGCCGGTGTCACTGGAACCATTAAGGCTGCGGTTGTCAAGGGACAAGCTCCTCTTTTGATTTCACGTAGTGCACTTCAAACACTGAAAGCTGTTGTGGATTTTGGTAACAACAAGATGCATTTGTTTGAGAGCAAGGCCACGGTCCCTCTTCTCACCAATGAAGCTGGACAGTATATCATCAGTGTTGTGAGTGATTTGAATCAGGAGACATCCTCTGAGTCTTTCCAAGAGATCATGATGAACGAAGTGAATCCGAAGGTAGCCACTCAGGATGGCTCAAACGATGTGCCTGCAGCTGAACTACCTGATCAATCGTCGCCCGACGATGTGCCCAGCGATGTGAACTCTCCAGAGGACACAACACATCACGAAGGACCGACTGCACCATTGCAAGTTTGGCGTAGGAATGACTCCTTCAGACCATCAAGTTTAAGCAAGAGTTGATGCCACATAGGTGGCTTGTTTCGCTTCAGAAATAGCCAAACTGCTTTCTGACCAAAATTATGTAGGTTCTAAATCTTTCATGGTCCTTCACCCGTTAACGTGAAAGACTTGCAGCGGGGTTGACCTAGCTCCTTGCTTAAGCCAAAAGTTTGGCTAGAAACAAAGGTTTAGTCAGTAACAACAAGGTTCTGATTACTGAGCGCTTGGTTTCAAGTTCCATTGTGAAAAAAGACATGGACCCGGTGCAGCTGGGAAGACATTCAATACTTCACATACCACCATACCCGATACACACATCAGCAAATAAGCGAAGCCAAGAAGTGGTCAAAAGACCCAACTTTGGTCAGTAATACAGAGGTCCCAAATCCCGAGCAAACTGTCTCAAGCTTTTGTATCAAAAACATGGCTACCTGATGTGACTCACGCGCCCGAAAAAAATGATTTACTCACATGCACATGAATTGGTGGGGCATGTGCTAATTTTCTTTGAACAACTTTTGGCTCAATCCCGCACTAGGAGCTTTTATGTGAGCCGTATCAGCCTAATCTTGCACACACACACACCAAATTTCAACCCTTATAGGAAGTTTTTTTACAATGTTTAATGGTTTGCTGAAAAGCTCTGGGTAACCGAGTTCTCTTCAGAAGATCTCTCTTTAAGCTCTCCTCAGAATGCATTTGCCTGAGGTTTCTTGCCGCAACTCTTGCCGCGATATTTGAGCGAGATCTTGAATAATCTTCTACAGAGGTTTATCGAGGAGATTCGTTTTCAGATCGGCTTTGTTTCTCTGTTATCTTAGATAAGCAAGCCCTAACTCTGTTGAGGAGTGAAGTTTTATGGGGAAGGTCTGTCGCGTTGTCGCGCGATCTCTTGGGAAAGTCTTGGGAAAGTCATGCAGATGAAGTCTGTGTGTGCGAAATCTCAGATGTCTTTAAGATACAATGAAAATATAGTCAGTTGAAAGCTTGTCAGGACCTCGGCCCGGGAGAACGAGCAATCTGGCAAAATCAAGGTATAAGAGTTTTGAAAGGCTGACGGCAAACTCATGTTTAAGACTTTCGTCAATAAACTTTGTTTGAGGGATTGCATTCAAAACAGGCTGCTGGAGAGGCCTAATAAAGCTTCAAATTCAGCCATTTTGGTGTGCCTTGCAAGCGGCGGTCAAATTTCAAAACAAGCGGGGCGCTGAAGATTGAAAAACAGAAAGGCACACGTTATACGCCACGCTTCCCACACTGGAGGTATCATCATCGTTGGTTTGATGCTTCCAAAAATGGGATCTCTGTATGCACTAGCGCACTCTTACGTCAACTCCTTTGGGTTTTTCTGCCAATGTATGAAGTACGATGCGCGTTAAAGATGCGTCGGCTAGCTACAACTCGATATTACACACGCTACTCCTACAGGGCAGGCGAGTACAAGAGATTTAGTATATCGTCTTTTGTCTGCACTAGGGGTTTGTTGGCTAGCCTTCAACCTCCATGGTATCTATCTATGGTTCCAAAAATGCTCCGGTAAGCCTCAAGATTGGGACTTCGCAAGGTTTCAGGTTTAAGAAATATACCATGGATATTGATTCAAAAGCTTAGGGGGGCGCACAAAAGTGCAGCAAAATCATTTTAAAACCTGAAGAAAAATTGTCGGTGTAGCAACCCCTGGATTTATTGCGAGCCGTCTAAGCTTTGGTTGTATATTGGAAATCCAAGGGGGTTTGATTGTAACATGGAGTGGCGACTGGTTTTACCATTGGGTTCCATCGGCTCTAGTAAACTTGTCCGTTTGGACAAAAGAGTTGTTTCCCATCAATGTTCTTACCGCTATGACCACCTTGGTGAACCGACTTCGCCACAAGTCCCAACCATGTTTGCTCAAATTGAATGGTTTCCAAAACTGATGGGATGAAAACGGAAACCTATAGAAGCAAACCTAGGAGCTTTTTCATGCTATATGTCTGCTGGATATTGTCCAAACCAGCAAGGAAATTCCATCAGATGGTTCAATCCATTCCCTGGGTTCCGAAAGGGCTTGGGTTATAAGATGCGTCGGTGCTACCAGCAAATCCAACGAATCCTAGCTGAAGGCCCAATAAAAATTACGCGTCTGCATACACGACAGGCTGGGGAAACAGGCTTCATTGGTCTAAATGATTGCTTCACCAGCAATCATCCAAACTTTGTTGGTTTCAAGGACACAAGAGTCTTTCAGTTGAAACAGGTTTTCCTTTCACCGGCAGCTGTATTAAATCTAACCTACATATAATATCATTGCAGTCTTGAAAGTTTTGATATTCCAATTTTTTCATGATGGGGTTTCAAAAATTCCAGATGCTATGGGGAATGGGTAGAATAGAAAAGAACACGATGTGAATATTAACACGTCGAATTGGAAGATTCCGGACTGTACATGATGCAGTTAGAATACCGCAGATGTTTTGCATCCATTTCCTTTCGCTTTCCATTACCTCAGCATTTAGGCAT